AACTATGGGACTCTGTTATTTGAGATTAAGTTTGATAACTGTGGAACTATGTGCTTAGTTCGTGTGCATCGATGAAAATAAAAGGAAAACCAACGTACTAACAGAAAGCATAGTAATTAGATAGGAAAGACTCTAGCCGTTTGATTTCTGAATATGAAACCTTTGAAACTCCTGACCAATTTGAACATTTAGGAAATACAATGCCATCCTCATTCAGTTTTTGGGCCAACATAACCCTAATGTCCGGAATAGCTTCCATTATCCAAATCTGAAATGCATAAGAGAAACCATGTAAAGGATATCTAGTCTTCTGCATCAATTTCCCCCTAGCAGTCTTCATCTCCTTCAGTAGATGATCAAATGATTCAAGACCCCACGGATAAGTTCGTAGCTTGCCAAAATCCATAACCAATTATGATGTAAGTGTGTGAGATAACGACCTTCTCATCCATTAACAATAACAATCCAGCAATAACACACAAATACACCAAACGTAATCTATCTACACGCTTCCACTTCTTAGTAGCCAGCATGTGCACATTCGCAATGTCCTGAATGCAAATGCTATCATCTGCATTTAGCCATTTACTCCATAAACTCTTATCATATACCCAGTCATCAATGTTGCAGTTGTCCTCTTTCTCAACCTTGAGGCCAGTCACGACATGAAACTCTTGCAAAGAAAATCGAAGATGTCTCCTAGCAAAAACAATCCATAACTCATGCAGTTTAGATGTTTCTAGGTGCCTACACATGAAACTGTGTATCAACTTCCCCGAGTATCCCAGATTATTATCATGGATTGCCATGATATGAGAGAAGATAGGATTTGCCTTCACGTCCTCGTAATCTTTTGGCACCAACTGCTGCACTTTCTTTAGAATCGACATCTTGCAGCTGTTGTTGATCTTTATAACTTCTGGTTCATGCCGTTATCTAAAAATTCTTTTAGGCAACTCTGAATCCATGCCTACAAAGAATTAAACAATGGAAAATATCAAGGATAACTAATTAACATTTTTAAATATTAGCAAAGTATATGAACACATTCAAAAAGAATAAAGTCACAAAACATATTACAATATATATGTATATCCCTATGTATCACGTCTTTTTCAAATCATCAAAGCTTTCAATTCTTTACAAAGCTAACTTATTGTAAGTACTGGAAATGATCTAAGACATTTAGTTTTGAATAACAAATAATAGTTCGTTGAACCAGTGGCTTATTATTGAGAACTTATAACTTTGGATATACTCAGAGACTTCAAGCTAATCCTCTTAAAACACATTCACAGAAAGATCTTAGGCACACAAATGCACCATTTCAATTCAACAACTGAGAGCAGATCAGTATCACTAAGTTGAAACTTTTGTTTCTCATTTCCAAATACACAACCATTTTTCTCAGATCAATACGCTAAATACACAACCATTTTTTTCTCAAATTAACACAACCAAATGAAAAGAGTACTACTCTTATACAATTGTGAATATGTATTTCAACAGAGGAAGATAGCAAACAAAAGGTAAACACTAGCTACGAAACAATAGTAGTATTCTGAACATCATGAAACTAAAAAATGCAATTCCTCAGTAAACAAAATGATTTGTCTAATATTTCTACGATATCAAACTAATCAGTAAAGCGAAGTAATCAATAAGAATGGGTATATGTTACTTCTAAAACTCAGATGATACACAGCATATAAACTGTCACAGTAATCAAAGGCTCAAGGCCTCAAGGATCCTACGCAGACACTAACTAAATATCATCACTAAACACGAATTATAAGCCAAATTATACAAATAAAAGGAAGATCGAAAACCCATGAGAATCTTTCCATTGTAATGAACATAATACTAATAGAAAATATAGCTCTTGATTTCGTCCAACAAAATACCCAATTGCAAATGGAAAAGCCAACAAAACACCAACACGAGTTGATCAGTAAAAAGAACAAAGAGAAAAAAAACCCGATAGCCGGTGAAACACGAGAAAATTCAAAAAAGAAAAATCTTACCGGAATCGACGGCGGTGTTCGTTAGCCGGTGAGGAGGAATCAACCGTAATGCTCCACTTCGGTGAGGAGGAATCAACGGCGGGTTCGGTGACGACGAAGAAGACAGATGAAAAGAGAAGAATAGGCAAAGAGAGGGTTTCGATAGTTTCAATGGTTTTGATGATATATATATTTTGATATCGTTTGTTTACACTAGAAAAATATTTCCTTAATAAATCAGACATAAACATTAGATTTTCTTTATAATATATGTGTTTTCAAATTTTAACAAAAACATTTATTTTTTTATTAAATTAGAGGGCAAAAACGGATTTCAATTTAACTAAAGTATAATGAGACAAAACTAATCACTTTATAGTGTATTGTGACAAACTCAATTTCAATGTGGGATAATTTTCTAAATTTCTCTTAAATTAACCAATCATAACATTTCAATTAAGTCTATATGCCATGTTGAAAATCTCTACATATAGACATTAAAATTTTAATATGAACTCACAAATATATGTGTTACAAATTTAAATCCAAC